GAGAAAAAAATTATTGTTGTGCCTTTGGATGTCAGAATCAGAATGCAAATAATTTTTATATAATACTGTCGTCAAAGACGCCATTTGAAGCTAAACGCAGACGTTTAAACAGACAGACTATGGATGAAACCTGCTATGATTACCCTACTTTTAAAGCATACATTTGATTTAAACAATAGGTCTATATAATATTCATATAGGGGACATATTGTATTAGCCCTACAGTTGAAATACATGCATGAAATACAATTTAAACCTATAACATTTTACATAACATTTAACTATTTTATTTCACAATTCTGACTTTTTTTCTTGCAAATACAAGTTTATATCTCCTAGTTCGGACTTGATTCAACTCAACAATTGCGAGGTTGTCAATTCCGAGGGAAAAAAGCCAGAAGTGTGGGATTATAAACTAAAAAGTCGTCAAAGACGCCATTTGAAGCTAAACGCAGACGTTTAAACAGACAGACTATGGATGAAACCTGCTATGATTACCCTACTTTTAAAGCATACATTTGATTTAAACAATAGGTCTATATAATATTCATATAGGGGACATATTGTATTAGCCCTACAGTTGAAATACATGCATGAAATACAATTTAAACCTATAACATTTTACATAACATTTAACTATTTTATTTCACAATTCTGACTTTTTTTCTTGCAAATACAAGTTTATATCTCCTAGTTCGGACTTGATTCAACTCAACAATTGCGAGGTTGTCAATTCCGAGGGAAAAAAGCCAGAAGTGTGGGATTATAAACTAAAAAGAAAGAATGACGAGTTGATTTTTCTTACCAGAATTGTGAGATATAATCTCGGAATTGCAAGAAAAAAGTCAGAATTGTGAAATATAAACTCAAAATTACATTTTTTATTCTTTTATTCCATGGCTTGAATAGACTGCTACGTTAAAACAGTCATTTTCTGCCACCAGATAGGCTCCACCCACAAAAAACGTCATCACTGTTTGCAAACACTGAAATTGATAACTAATTAAGGCTGTTGGTTGTCGAATGTCATAATTACACCTATAGTGCCACCATTAACAGATAATGTAAATATCCTGAGAATAACAAAATTTGTAATAATATACAATATCAGTTAGTTCGATTTACATCCTTATTAAAATTGTCTACAATAATGCCAGGCCAAAAATGATTAAACAAGTCCAATCATGAGTGAATAGAGTCCCCTACCCTCCATGGATCATAGTGAATTAATAATTCAGAATCCAGGTCACTTGACACTGGTTATTTTTAACCTTAACAAAATCCATTTTCACACCACATGTAGTTAAGACGGTAGAATTAGTATGGAGTGCAAGCGTTTTTAGCACCTGGTTCATATATATAAACTGTTATTTAGCATAAAAGGCATTGGATATCCATAAAAGGCAGGAATTTAAGTGTTTATAAATCTCCCTGGCTGAATAAAACACTAATTCATGCCATAATCGCTTAGTATGCAGTTCTGCAGGTTTGCTTTAATCACCATAGAATGGGGCTTCACACACACTGCTGTTGTTGTTCATCGTCACAGACTGAACCTCTGGGCAAATGAGGCACTGTGTGAGTGGTGGGAGGGTTAAAATGGATTCTTCATAAAGATGTCAGCCTGTAGGCTTCAGTCAAACCGCCTTGCTGTGGGAGGGGTGAAGAGTCAGATGTGCTCAGCACCTGATATTCTTCCTGTGGCTCGGAGTAAGAAGGAAATTTTCATCAGACACAAGCACAAAATGTAATCTGTACTAGATTGTTGCTTGATAAGAAAAACTTTAGAATTAAATGTTTGTTTAATTTTGTTCTATCTTTCTGTGTGACACTGCACTGGTGCAACTGGCATCTCAGGGTATGTCATCTCCATTGAAATGTGTTTTATGAATGCTGTACATCAACACGCTCCTTCTAATTACTGCAGTACAACAGTTATGTCTGAAGTCATGCTGTTGTAAGCATCCTCATCCTTTTTAATGATAACTTGTAATCCTTTAAGGACAAACCAACTGTGCGCTACGGCTACGCTACCATTAATCGATGGCAAGTGAGTGAGTGAAATGACGTTATGGTGACCCATACTCGGAATTTGTGCTCTGCATTTAACCCATCCAAGTGCACACACACAGTAGTGAACACACACACACACACAGTGAACACACACCCGGAGCAGTTTGCAGCCATATTGCTGCGGCACCCGGGGAGCAGTTGGGGGTTCGGTGTCTTGCTCAAGGGTCTCACCTCAGTCGTGGTATTGAGGGTGGAGGAGAGCGCTGGTTATTTACTCCTCCCACCTACAATCCTGAGACTCGAACCCACAACGTGATGAACTTTCATCAACATCTTTTAATCAATAGTTTTATATTTATCCATCATTTTTTATTTTATTATGCTTCATGGGATTATAGTTCTTTCCCTTATTAAATCTGTTACATAAAGAAACTTGTACCATTTTCTATTTGTCCAAGTTTTTATATTCTTTTTTTTGCTTCAAATCAAAGTTTGTTAATCACCTTGTAAATATTGTGCTAGGCCAGTTGATTTGTAATGGTCTGGACAATTTTTTTTTTCTTTAGCAGAAGCTTTAATTATAATAACGTAATCTTCATGTCAGGGTTAATATTCTAATAATGTCCACAAAACAATTATCCCTTACATATTGTCTTCTCATTAAACAATATTGCCACCGACAATGACTAACAATCTCAAAACAAGTGTATTATTTAGATTGAACCATGGTAATCAATCGCTGAAGTGTTCCTCTTGTTGTGCGCTGTGCCATGGGAGCTTCTTGTCTTCCCTACGGTGAAAAAATAGACTTAAGATATTACTCTTTAATTACGTTTCCTTTTAATCAACCTCAGGAGCCAACAAGCACAAGCACAAGCCGGCCAGGGTGCGCAGACACTGTTTGGAGATAACAAATGGTTTTGTCGACCTGATTTAGGAGCTAGTAGCAGGCAGAACGCGTTTTATCCAGACAGACGTCGGCGTGAGGAACGTAATTAATATGGAATGCTGATGAGAAATCTGACAAGTTCTAATAAAAGGCTGAGTGGTTTGATAAGACTTGAGTGCCCAGGAGTAATTACAGAGCTTTAAACAGTGTGTAGAGCAGAGTTTAGTGTGGGACTGTCTTCATGTTTAATAGAGACAGAATCTGCACTTGACCCTCCCTCCACCATTGACAGGCCATTTATTACAGCCGGCTTTCTGATTCAGCATGCCAATATCAGCTCTCCGCTGCATGGCTAATGTCTTTTAGCAAGACTTTCTGAGTAGATATGAGGTGTTTTGCAGACTTTATTTTGCTCTAGTTTGTTGATTCCTTTTGGCTCCTTTATGGATTATGACTTATCCAGTAATGACAGCTGTGAGGGCATACAGACAGGGACAGAGAAAGACAGACAATAAAGCAAATGTGTGAGTTATAAAGTGATTTCAGAGGCTTGAGAAACAAGAGGAAAATTAAACATTTCTCTACTGTGAACGATGTAATAAATGTATGTGGTAATGAAAAAGGGAAAGGCAAAATGTGAGCTCTGATTCTTGCTCTCTGTCTCTTCCTTTCAGGGACATTTGTTTTCCCTTGTGCTTTATCAAAGGACAGCTGCTAAATAGTCCCTTGGCCATGCACGTGTGCGCGCGCGCACACACGCACACACACACACACACACACACACGTGTTGGCACGAAAGCTCTGTAATCTTTCCTCTTGTCACCTAAGAGCTCCCTTTCAGTCCTGTCTCCATGGAGACAACAAACTGTTTTGTGTCACAGTTTGTGTTCTGGTCGGTTCAGCCTCAGCAGTCTGTGTGTTTGCATCTAATCCTGCATCATCTTTCTAGAGCTGATGACCACATTAATTACATGCACTTCTGTCATTTTCTTTATGTATCCACCTTATCGGTGGTCAGCAGGCAGACCTGTCTGTTTCAGTCCTATGTACTCCAGAAATGATTCAGAGGAAGATGGCGCTCAGTGATGAGTGACTAGGTCAGTGGAATCACACTGAACCATGAAAGGCTGCGAATCACATGAATTCAGTAGATCACATGCTGCAGCATCACACCTCTCTTTTGTCATTTATCCATCTGTTATTATTTTATATATCACACTCCACTTACACTGTTTCTCTTCTTTTTTTTTTTTTTACAAATGTTCTGTGCCTTCCTGTTCCACCCCTTTGCCTAATGATCCATTATAATTTTTTATCTGAATATGAAAATAAATGACATGTCATTACTATGAAGATAGGAGTGATAATTTAAATGATCAAATTCAAGAACAAGAAATGTATATAGTGTTGATGTACAGTTCAACAGCACAGGTAATTTTCAATCTACACTGGGATTTAGGTGGTGGGATTTTTCTGCACGTTACATCGTTACGACAGTAGGTGGCGACAAGTAGGCCTAACTGTCAACTGAGTCAATTATTCATTCACTCAATGATTCATTCACTAATTGAATCATTTACTCAACAGATTCAGTCAACAACAGTGAATCATTTAGGAACGAAACGAGTGAGTCATTGAGTCGTTTACTTAACCGATTCGTTCAGCAATAGGCCTACTGATTCATTTAGCACCGCCATGACTGTGTGTTGCCCGGAGGAGTGAAGCAGAATATAGGCTACTCGTGATATTGATCCTAAAATGTAAGTTACTTAATACTAACTTGTTTATTGAATTGCTGTATATTGGAAAAACAATATCACACTCGCTATATAGCTGTTGCATGCTCTAAAAGTGATCCAGTGTCGAACCAAAGTGTATTTATTATAAATAAGGATATTTCAAATCCTGTTTATTACTCAAATTAGAAATCCCACTAATTAGAAGTCTGTCTTACATGGCTAATTTCCTGCTTCCTCGGGCTGAATTCCAGTCAGATATTGATCAGCAGAAACTTGATGAGCTGTACAAAACGCTTTTATGAATTACCTCACTAATTTTAGTGGCTTTTCATTCCAGTGTTGATTTTTTTCTCCCACAGGTTGTCTGTTTGAAGATGAAGTATGTGAGTCGTATGAAGTCTGCATCAATGGTGAGTCGTTAAAATATTATACATTTTGCGCTGGCTATCACCATTTAAAATAATGCTTCTCATTAAAACTGCAGAAAACTCAAAAGTCTCTTCCAAGCTGGCACTCTACTAAGTTACCCACAGAGAGCTTTACAGAGTGCATCTGTCTTTCTTTTTATGGCTATAAATGATCTTGTGTTTGGATTTATTTTCTGGGGACGTGTTTTTATCAGTCTGCACAACATATAATTGCTGCAAAAATGTAGGCTAGTTTTGCGATGGAAGTAAAAGGTTTGTGTATGTTGAATATCTAATTTTAGTGAGAAATTAAATGTCAGGTTAATATAAAGGTTTATTTATTTATAGTATTTTATTTGTTTTGGGCAGTTTAATCAAAATCTATTTTGAAATTATGTTTTAATTATATTGTGAAATGCAACCAGTAAGTTTCCAGCCTTACCTGTTCTGGTGTGATGTGAATGTATCTTTGGAAAGCAAGAAAGAGCTTCTTGTGAGGAGTGGTTATGGTATTGTAGTGTTGAGGTGACTGGATTGTCCTTATTATGGAATGAGGTCAGGCAGTAACTGCAGAATGATCATTGATGGACAGCTGGCTTGTGTGGGACTACCATCTAACATTTCTCAGAATGCAAAGCAATGACTGTGTGGCCTTTAAGAGAGAAAGTGAGGAACTGAATGGGGACTTGGCTGGTAAAATGGCCTATAAGTCAAGTCAAGTTCAGGCTGTAGGTGAAAAGAACCAGTCAAGGTTTCTGTCAGCATTTAAATTGTTCTTTACTTGTCTCTGTGGTTATAGTCTGGTCATGATTACCAGGTAACTGGTTTATTGTCAACAGCTATGCCTTTATGCCTAAACAAGATGCTTTAATTTGTAATCACCTTTTTTTTAATACTGTCCCAACTTCTTTATGGCAGCTATTTATTATGTTCTTATAGTAATTATTTATTTATTTATATTACTTTATTTCAGATGTTGTAATTGTTATCTGCATTTGCAGATGCTAAAAGCTCTAAATTTGATGGTCTGATGTACACTAGTGTTGTTGCAATACCCAGATTTGAACAGTACCAGGGCTCGCAAAATTTCAAAATCCCTGGAGCCCTTCAGGCAGGTACTCTTCAAATTTTGGTAGCCTGAAAATTAATTTAACTTGCCCAATGTTTTTTTTCTTTAAAAAAAAAAAAAAAAAAAAAAAATATATATATATATATATATAATCAGATAGGAGTTTAAATGTCGATCAAAAATATTTCAATACACAAATATCAACAAATATGAAGGAAGGAATTTTATTTCACTATTTACTTTTTTCTATGATTTAACATACAGTACTGAGCCATAAAATTACATGATTTACAGTTCAGATACAGGTTTTCACAAAAATCCTATACAACAGCATTTCATCCTTTAGACCATTTTTATGAAAAGGGATAAATCAAGCATATAAATTAATTTAAAACGTATAAATATACTATTGCTGTCTTAATTGTTTAGATTTTTAGAAGGCACATGAACTTCTTTCTTATTTACAACTCTGTGTTTGCTGCGTAAAAACATGAGTTGATATTTCCATTGATCTGACCATAAACAGCAAGTAAGGCTTATTGGAAATGCAAATTCATTCTCTGCCACGAGGTGGCGCTTTAGGAGCGCTGAAATATTGCGGTTTCCCCGGTAACGGCTGTACACAAAGCAGCTCTGCACGTTTTGACTTGAAATTTGCAGCGCTTATATTTATTCAACATCATTGCCTTTTGAAGTTTAATCCAGCCGTATCGTGACTCTTTCTGGGAAGTAAATTGTATTATCGTTTTTATTTGTTTAATTAGGAATTTATGCTGCCTCAAAGAAAGCATTTGCTGCTCTTGGGGACCAGTGCAGTAACTGGCTGGAGAAAATCATTGCTCTGGGTGCTGATGGTGCTGCTGTTAATTTGGGCAGCAAAGGGGGTGTCTGCAGCCCTTCTGCAGCAAGAGGCAGGTGACCACATTGTGCCTTTCCACTGTATGCCTCACAGGTAAGACTAGAACTTGTAAAACTGCGGTGTTAAATGCGATGCGGTCGAAAATTTGGGTGCACCTAACTTTTGTGCTGGTGCACCTAAGAAAAAAAGTTAGGCGCACCAGTGCAACCAGTGCAAAAAGTTAGTCTAGAGCCCTGCAACTCACTTTAGGAGTTTTTAAGGACCCGCGGGAGATCTGTATCTAAGATAGCCCATCGGGCAGAGTGGTGATACATTTTGGTAGCCCGACTGGAAAACACAATAGCCCCGGGACGTCCGGCTAGCGATTTTGCGAGCCCTGAATAATCAAAGTATTGTCTTATTAACTCAAACTCTGTTGTCGGAGAGAAGATAGTGAGAAAGTGCAGCTGGTATCTGTGTATCCATAATATGGAAAATGTGTATTGAAACAGTTTAAAATATTTCAGTACTGAAACATGGAAAAGTCAATATTTTTTACAATACTATGTTGATATATTATATGTAGCAGCTCAGTGCATTGACCAAAATGGTTTATGATACCTGTAAACTTACTTCGTGGCTTTTTTAATCAAAAGTTAAATGTATAAGCATTTCTTTCATTTGTTCAAAGCTGTGTTTGGAACCATGTGTATGACAATTTTCTCTTGACGTGGAATACATTTAAAGCTCAAACAAGATGAGCACCATTTCAAGCCATTCACTTCAATTAAACAAATGCAGTGAAGAGTGAAATCCCAGGTACTTTGGGAGCACTGTCCAACCTTAGGACTTATGAAGGAAATATCCCAAGGACTGTCAGGGGACTTTTTTTTATCTCACTGAGTTTCTTTCTCCATCCTTTGCTTCGTGTTGTTGCACAATCTGTTCTCTTGAGAATAATTTAGAGTGACAAGATTTATTTTTGATGGATGGGCTGCTTATCCACTCTTTTTAACAGAGACAGAAAATAAATCTTTAGATTGAACGTGCTTGATCTTGCTGCGTTATCTTTATACCTTCTGATGTTGGCTCACCTCAGATCACCTGGAGCAGAATGAAGGCCATCATCAGTGGCTACAAACAGTCCCATAATTTGATATTGTGAGAGATTATGGACAGGGAAACGAGTTGCATTTTCATAAACATCTTTTTCTTTTCAATGTTAACTCTAGTGTGCTAGCAAAAAACCTTTTCACCTTCATGTGAGACCCCGTCAGTCCCTCCACTACCTCTTCAGCACCCTGTGAGGCTGGATTAGTGTGGGAATCACCCCCGGTGGGGGATTCTGCACCACCTTACTGTCAGGTAACGTTGTGGCACTGCAGGGAATTGTCCTGTCTCAGTTCCTGTTCAATTTCTACACAATAGATGTACCAGTACAACACCTGCTCATGCCACCTGCAGGCATTCACAGGCTTCTCCGTTGACAATGCAGAGCAGTCAGGAGACAGGAAGCTAGTGGTGGACCCAGTATTTTGGCATGCGTGAGAACAGCCTGCAGCTGAATAGAAAGGAGGAAAAAAAAAACAGAAAGACACATGAGTTGGTGGAGAAAACATGGAGCTCTAGAGGACTGTTAAGACCAGTCATCATTCAGAATGAGGTGGAACAGTCTGGGAATTCAATTAATAATCTAGACAGGGCGTTGAAATGTGGACTGATTCAGTGCTTTTTATCCCGCTGTCGTTTGTCAGTGAGTCCTTAAAAGGTTAGTTCACCCAAAAATGAAAATTGTCACACTCATGTTGTTTCAAACCCATAAGACTTTAGTTGCGTCAAACAGTAATGGTTGAGTTTCCATTTACCGTATTTGATGTGCTCTATATATATGCAATGATCTGTTATATATATGTAAAAAAACGTATTAAATCTGTTTATAATATAACGTGATCATGTCTCTTCAGAAGACTTTGATTAAACAACTTAATTCATATGAATAACTTCTATGTTCTCTTTATGAACCTTTGAAGTGTCCAAGTTTTGGGTGAATGGAGGGTCAGAAATCTCTCAGGTTTCATTAAGAATATCTTTATTTGTGTTTTGAAGGTAAATCACTTTGGAGTTGCAGAAGTTTTATTTAGTGGGTATTAGGGATGTTCATTTTAACCGGTTAAAATGCGGTAAGAATTTTGACCGATTAATACAATCAGTTAAACAGTTTAAAAAGTCATTTAATTATTTATTTTTTCAGTAATTTATCAAAATATTTAAGACGGTTTGCTGCATGGTTAAAATACGCTACGCGTATAAAAAAAAAGTGTTTTTTAGGGGGAAAAAAAATTCAGATTTCTGAAATTCATTCAGAAAAAGGCCTAATGCCGACGCTAAATGTTTACAAACATTATAATAAACACTGTAAACATAGTTAGGCTATTTTAGTTCCCCTCACTCCACAACAAATCCTTTCAATTAACAGTATTTAGAAAAGAACAAGAATTAAAAATATAAGAAGCTATAGCAATAAAAACGACAAGCCAAAATATCGAAATTATCGAAATATCGCAAATGTACATATCGCAATATGCATATCACTACAGCTTGCAATATTTGGGGCCATGAACAAAAGACAAAGAGAAAATCACACTGCTCTTACCTAAATAACGAGTAAAACACATACCGTTCACTTTCAGAAGTTGTTGTAGGGGTGCTTTCTTATTAGAGTCAGAATCAGAATGAGCTTTATTCACCACTTAAGTGTGCGCACATTAAACGATTTAAAAGTCATTTAATTATTTATTTTTTCAGTAATTTATCAAAATATTTAAGACGGTTTGCTGCATGGTTAAAATACGCTACGCGTATAAAAAAAAAGTGTTTTTTAGGGGGAAAAAAAATTCAGATTTCTGAAATTCATTCAGAAAAAGGCCTAATGCCGACGCTAAATGTTTACAAACATTATAATAAACACTGTAAACATAGTTAGGCTATTTGCCTCTGTATGTATGAATGGCAGAAACACGGTTTTGTTTACTATACAAATACTGAAGCACGCGTGACGCTTGCGGTGATTTTCGGCCTCTGCGTCTCACCATATGA